GACCGGGCCCCCCCCCCCCCCCCCGACCGTTGCAACCCGCTTATTTTTGTTTACACGGATTCCAGCGAGCTAAAAGACCGATGGAATCCTATCGAAGATTAGGGGCCACGGTGAAAGGATTCCTTCGCCACTCGATAACATTCTATTCGGTTGTCCCGTGAATTCGTTCGGTTCCAATGTGCACAATGCGGATGTACGGTATAATCTTTTAACGCTTTCGAGCTCGTCCTGCGCGCTGCCTTGTAACCATGGGAGGAGGACTGTGTTTATTTAGGCTTTTCATTTTCTATATCTTCTATAAAGGAATTCGTGCAATCGTTTCTGTAAAAAAAAGGGGTCTTTGTAATTTCTACAATTTGGAAATAAACAATGAAATAACTGTGAAGACACGGCGATAGGAAATTAATGAATTGTTCGGTTCGACGATACTTCTAGACGACGAGAGTAAATTAATAAATTTAGTAGCTTTTCTTACATATTAATTCCGGTGTGAACGCTACCGTGCGTTTCTGTAGTCGTGAAACGTAAACATAAAGGTCATCGACCCAGCCCAGTTCGGAAAATGGAAATGGGTGCGCGTGTCCGGAAAACGTGTTCGTGTCTGGAATCGCCGGGCACGAAATGCTCGTTATACGTCGACGGATACGCGTGACCTAATTAACAAAACCAGAGAACACACGCGGTCGGCGATCCGCGTGCTTGTTAATTAAATCGATTCGCGAAAAGTTCACGAGAGTCTTTTAACGCGCGCGATAAGACGCGATCGATCATGCTGATACCTACGATTCTTGACCTAGGAGGATTATGCGGTCGATCGATCGCCGGTATCACCGACGTGTAATTTTTTGCGGGAATTAACGCGAGAGATTGTAATTCGAAAAATACCGATGACGTAGAATGTAACGAAACAGGTGAAATTATCGGGCTAGTGATTGCACAACTGTGCATGATCTGCTGCAAATATTTATCCGGTAAATGGAAATGTTCGCGCTGATAATCACACGAGAGCTTTTACACGAGCGATTGTATTTTGTCTCGTCCCGTTTTGGCATGTTTACACGATTATTTGCGGAAACGTTGTCGAACTCTCGCGGCGACGAAAGTTCGGCCACGGATGGCACCATTCGACTGGATTCCTCGCTGGGTAGAATTCGGCATTTTGCACGAAACCGCGTAACCGGTAATTTCCGATTACACGGTCTTGACCGATGCTTAGCAGAGGGGGAGAGTGTTACGAGCCACGTCGAATTCCCTTTCTTCGAATCGAACCGGCCGCGCGCCGGAGCCTAACTTTCGCCGCAACCGATCAAAAACAACGTATTACACCGTGAACGAGTGACGCAAAATGCTTTCGTAATCACGGCAATCGATGTTTTCGTCATGTTTCTTAGAATTTCGATCCATCCCAAATTTTGGGTACGTCGCATAAATTCCAGGGACGCGACGTCAAGTCGTAAAACTCATCACCCGACTCCTTCTATCCCCTTCTACCCCTTCTATCTATATAATTAACTACGTACAATTGTGCTCGATGTGGCTTGCATTTTCGCAAATTGATCGAACGTCGAAGAGTAAAAGAATAAATTGACGTTGAACGCCGGAAAAAGGAAACTGACGTTCTGATCAACGTTATCGGAAGTTCTATTTCTTATCAGATATAGAAGCGTGCATTGTTGGAGAATTACACTATTCTTTTGTTATCGGCAAGTGCTCTAGCATACGCGCTAATTGATGGAACATCCGTAACCTACAACGTAAAGCCGATAGATTAACATGTTATCGTTCTACCGGTTGCGTCTTATCATGACATTTTTTAACTAACCTGGTAAACCGATGTTAATGAAACGTGGGTCTTATCTTTCAGTCCATATTCTTCCGTATTCTTCAGCCAGTTAACATTTCAAACGTTCAAATTATTGAATCTCCGATCGAAAACAATAACTGCGTCAAGGGAACTGGATTTGCAGCGGGAAGTTACCGCCCTCTGCGTAATTTCGTTAGAAACAGAAAATTCGAAAAGGCGCGCAACGCAGTTCGATCTAAATCGATTTTTCCGTTAGGCGGGAAAAAACATAGAACGTAATTCAATATATATATATACATATATGTATTCGTCTGCATCGGATTAAATAACAATATATTATTTTAACATCGCAAAACAATTCGATCGCACGGCTCAAAATTGTGTGACCGTATAATATAAAAAGAAAGATGTTCTCTCGAATAAATTAGCATACCTTGTAACAGCAATAGCAACTCTGAATCTAGCGGCGTAGCATCCGAACAACCAAACTGGCTTTGTACGAACAGCAACGAATCCTATTCACTTTCGCCATGTTAACGACTCATAATTGGCGACAGAATTAACGTCAGAGTGTTATAAATACTCGTCCAGCTGTCAACGACGTTTGCACGACCACGCGACTAACGAACGTGTTAGAAAGAGACGACGAAAAAACAATCGTGCTGGCAGCCTGTCACCGTATCGATGATATATGCGCTCGATCGAGCTGTCAGAATCGAGATTTCCCCGAGATCGAAAACTCGAGCATTTTCTCTCGAAATTTTATCCCGGAATAAATCGATCGATTCGACGAGAAAATCTCGCGGAACGTTCGCGCGGTTTGCAAGTAAAATTTTTGACTTACCGCACATATTGTCTTAATGTTGAATACCCGCCACGTAAATACAGTTGGTACGTAGTAGAATACGCGAGAGGCGAAAGGCAGTCTGAATGTCACCGGTTCGACTTCGTGACGGTGTCTGGCCCACAGCAAAGCACAATCTGAGCCTGTCTGAGCCGCACAACACCGTAGCCGTGGTTCTTATGATAGCAGTATTCACATGAGTGTGGGTACGGTCACATTTACCGGATACCGATGTGAATGCGTATGCGACGATCGAGCCGTACCATTGACAGTAGGCCGCATCACCTGCACGACGACGTGCAGCATAAGCAAGGAGATCGTATCTTTTGACAACGGAACGAATGTCAACGAGTCTGCTTGTTCGATGTACACAGAATACACTATGCAACGAATACAATACGTTCTCTCGATTAAATGTGCATTAAGAACGACGCATATCGCGGATAAATGTTGACACGTTGTGGGCTTACGACTCGCGTAGTGCCTCCCATGATATCAATTTGACATTACACGATGTTCGTCGACCATCGATACTCTTGTTTTCATTAGCGTATTTTTCAGAAATCTAACCCCTATAAATCTGTAACAATTAAACAAACTACCGCGTATTTCAAACCGCACCGAAATTTTTCGTATCGACTCTTGTTGACTTAATTCTTACCCACACTGTCTGCGGTCGAGGCAGAGGGCGCCAGCTGTCGCGTTGCTTCGTGTCGATAATTTAGGTTAGACTGGGTACAACGTTTAATATTTTTTCCAATTTTCATAGAATAATGTTGTGGCGTTTTGCCTCGCAGCATAAAATATGGCAGAATTATTGAACGTATTGAACGAATTCTTTAAATATGAAACATCATTCGTATTTGTTTATGGGATGGTCAATGACGTCGTTTCATTGGACATTTCTGTTCGCGCCAATTTCAATGGTCTTGGGAGAGCACGTAATAATCGGTGTATTGTGCCAAATTATGCTTACGCTAATAATTTGTTCTAGTAGACGTGCCTATATATTGGCGCAATGGCACAGTTTGATTTCAAATAGTATCACACCGTATTAAAGTGTTGCAGTCTGGCGTGAGATAAAATAATCGGTCCAATATACATATAAATTAGTGGGTGTCTGTGTTACTTAAAAAACACCCGGTAATTTTTGCATGCGATTCAGGTATACATAAATAACATTTCGAAAAATGTAAAACAAGTAGCTGTGTAAATAAGTTATATAACGTGCGTCAAAATAGTTGATGTTGAATCTCGTACGAAAATGTAACTGTTTGGAAAGTTTAACGTTTCGTGGTATGTAGTTCTCGATCAACATGTAAAAAACGACGCCCTGTTTAAACATTCTATTAATATACGATTCCACTAAACACACCGAAAAAACTTTCAAACAGTTGACAAATGGTGACACTCGTTGTTCTGTCATAATCGTCGTCGATCGGTCCGATAGTTACGATGAATTCGCAAACATGTTTGCATTAGCGGTAACAATGGTGCTAGTGGAAATATTTGGAGGATTGAATTTATCGTGTATTATTTGAGTGAGATTGACCGTGGAAAGTCACATTTGCCAATTCCGAGGTGCATTTGTTCGTTCCGTAGCGTGAACCCGCAGGCTAACTAGAAATCATCTCGATTTCAAGATAACTGTCAAAACCATGACCTTTTTAATATGAGAGTAACGCTACGAACGAAGAAAATTGAGCTTGATATCGGAGAAAGTGAGAATATGAACAATACGAATTTTCCTACTTTCAAAAATATCATGTTCTTCCGGCACGCGTGAAAGCATTTCATACCAGTATTTTCCAGACGACCTTATAACCTTTGACACATCATGGAAAATACAGCTGATCCTGTCACTTGTGGAGGCTTTGTCTTTTACAATAACTTCGACTCATCAAATTTAGATAGAGTCGAATTGGTCAAAGTGCCAGAACAATCTGAAAAGGGTAATCTCATATTTTTCCCCTGACCTACATTTTTCATTGTGCATACGTATATGTGTGCGTGTTCCTTCTGTATATTTACCGTGTCCCTAGATGGTAACGAAGCTGAAAACAAATCATGCAAAAGTTCAACCTCTGACGATTCTGTCGATTATGAATTCAACATATGGACGAAACACGATTGCCATGGGACACAATTTCAAAATAGCAATAGGACATGGTTTTACTTTGGCTTCAAAGCCTGTACCTCAGGAGCATATGTGAAATTTAACATAGTCAACCTAAACAAGCAAGTGAAAATGTTCAGCCAAGGAATGTGTCCAGTTTTTAAAGTTCTACCTGGTCATCTGCATTGGGAACGGATTCGTGACAGACCCACGTACACTGTAAATTTTAATTTAATTTAATATCCATCGCCTCTTAGCATACAGATAATGTATAAACCTTAAATATTACAGGTGGATCAGAAAGGCAGTGATTTTACATTGTCCTTTGTTTATTGTACTCCCGAAAACATGAAAGCCATTACATACTTGGCATTCACCTATCCTTTCTCTTACACCGATCTCCAAAATTATTTGAGAAGGGTCGAAGCTAGAATAGCAAAGAGAAATGTAACATGTGCGGACGACGTTTACTACCACAGGGAATGTGCAATAAAATCGCTGGAAGGACGAAGGCTAGATGTTATTACGATTAGCTCATTTCATTACATATCAACAGAGAGAGAAGATAGACTGATTAACATGTTTCCGGAGAAACACGAGGAGAGACCTTTCAAATTTTGGAATAAAAAAGTAAAATCTTTTGGTACAAAAATAATCATTAAAATTGCTGTGTATTTTTAAACGAAGACGCGTTTTTTAGGTGATTTTTGTTAGTGCAAGGGTCCATCCAGGAGAAACACCATCTAGCTTCGTCTTTAATGGGTTTCTTAATTTTCTTTTGAATCGCGATGACCAAATGGCAATCAATCTCCGCCGCTTGTATGTGTTCAAATTAATACCGATGCTCAATCCTGACGGAGTTGCAAGAGGTCATTATCGAATGGACACCAGAGGAGTTAATCTTAACAGAGTTTATTTGAATCCTTCTGTAAAAGATCATCCAACAATATATGCCGCGAGAAATTTAATAAGGTAGCAAAGGCAATATTCTAAATTACATAAAACCATTTTTTGTAGAAACTTTCAAACAAAATACGTATTTCAGGTATTACCATTACACATACCAATTGCCAAAGGAAGACGATATTTCGAGCGTAAGTTTCGAAAATGGAGAGAATATTATTGACTCTACTTGTGGAATTGCAAGTATAGTACGTGATACAACAACTAGATTGTTACAGCAGGTAATTATGATTAAGAAAAAAATATGTTATTCTGTGACTGTACTTCTATATATGTAGATACTAACATATATTAATTCACACTTGTTTCCGATATGGTGAAGGAATAATCTACACTAACAAATAATCTTAATGCTAGGTAACACTAATGACATTAGACGAAAAACGTCATAAAGACAAACCGGACATTTTTCAGGAACGCACATTGTCTAGAGCACACAGCTTGGATGACATGCCACAGGGTATGAATTTTCAAATAGTATTATTGAACGTGGTATCAAAATTCTATAACTTATTTATGCAAAATTATGTGAAGGTAGGGGAGAAAGCCTATGCAATAGTACAGACGACAGTGATTCTGTAGAACTTAAATCAGATAAAACAACGTATTCCGCCGTTGGCGTAGGACAATTACCGAAAGAGGATTCCGGATTATATTTATACATTGATCTTCATGGTCATGCTTCGAAGAAAGGAGTATTTATGTATGGGAACTATTTTGACAATTCGGAGGACACGATATCGTGTATGCTTTTGCCAAAATTAATGTCGCTAAACAATCCAAACTTCCATTTCACATCGTGCAATTTTACAGAAAGAAATATGTACATTATGTAAGTGGAATCGAAGAAGAGACAATTTGAACTTTTAATTCTTCTAATAATAATGTTTCATTTCTACAGAGACAAAAGGGATGGAATGTCGAGGGAAGGGTCTGGGCGGGTGGCTGTATATAAATTAACTGGTCTCATACGTAGCTATACTCTTGAGTGCAACTATAATTCTGGTCGTTTAGTGAACACAGTACCTACAAGAGTTCGCGATGGGGTTAACAAAAATGTGCCTCCAATTTTTGTTCCGCCAAAGTATACACCAGCAGTTTTCGAAGCGGTAAAATATTTGATTTGATTGCAAAGATAATGGTTTAGGTAATCAAATGTATATTGATACTTAAATATATATGCTCGCAGGTCGGAGCAGCATTGGGTCCTTCGATTCTCGACCTTACAAGTAATAATCCTAATAGTCGACTGCCAAATAGTCAGTATCGTTCTTTAAGGGGCGTAAGATCTTATTTAAAATTAGCGTACGTGAACAATGTGTCGACGCCATTCGGCAAGCCTCTGCATAAGGTAAATTTCAATGTCAATAATGAGAGTGAAATTTCAACTGTTGATATCAGACAGTGTGTACTCTCGTAACTTATAATACCACTAAATTGGTATGCTTTTGTATATTAATTATCAAGACACATTAGTGCCTGAGTAGTTGCACTTCATTCTCTTAATCAAAACATGTGGGAGAGAGATTTCGTATACATGTAAATTGTATATTATTTTATTTTAAATTATACATACTAAATTATATATTTGTTATTAGAGAGAAGATATATTATTATTTTATAACACTGCCGTAAATGAATTCGTGTTCGATTTGACAACTGATCCAGTATACATTGTTTTTAAACATACAATTATCGTGGATCTTGTAAAATTTTTAATACATCGAGCTAATGGGTCTTCCATCTCTAATAATTGTATGCATGAAAATAATATTTAATATATTTTTACATAAAGGTTTGTGAAAAAACTGTTTGTCTACTCGTTTTTGGTAGAGCTGTTAAATAATTTAATTTTAATTAGAAACTGTGTAAACAAATGCAAAGCTGAGCTATATTTATTATACATTAACAAAACTATATCAAGCATATGCAATGTTTTTATTGCATAATTTCTTTTACAATGCAATATTATTATGTAACTACGAAGACTGTGAAATTTTATATATTTTTGCACTAGGACTAATCGAGTATTAAATACTCTGTGCTAATGCTTACAATTTTAATGGAAACTGTACTCTTCCGTTTTTTAATTGTTAGTAATCGATTTTGACGCACTATAATTTTATTGACTATAAGTGCACTTAAACTAGTGTCACATGCACAAATTATTTCATGGTTGCGAGTGACAATGAGAAATACACACATGTGTAATTAATGATGTCTATTTCTTTAGCGAAAAGCAAAAAATAGCGGTTTAGACGATTGAACCATAAATCTCTGGATGGTGGAGTGTTTTCACAAATGATATGCAGATTTTCAAATCAGAGTTTCATTGAATTTTCTCTTTAATTCGTCGTTAATCAAACGAATGACAATAATTGTGGATTTTATAGATCTTTCATACAAAATAACGAAATGAAATGTTTTATATATATATATTTACGGACTGTTTAAGAGAAATATATCATATGTGTCCATTGCAAACAAAGTACGAATGTGTGTTCTACCATTACATAGAATCATTATTAGAATAAGAACAATGAATGCATAAATAATTCTTTAAAAATCATAGCCACGGAGTAATAAGAGTATTATCATGTTGTTCATTCTATATATAGATATATATAGATATATATATATATATGTAAACGTTGTTAATTGAAAAATAATATTATGTACAAATTCATGTATAGAATCTTTGCAATGTATCTTGTTATAACATACACTTGTACAAGTGCACACAAATACGAACACACATACACGTCCCGTTGTTTTAATAAATGTACAGTATTTTTAGCGATAATTTATTTCCCCTATTTTTATTTTATTCCCCCTTGATCCTTGGTCCCATTGTCGCAATACGTGTAATACCATTTATATGTTTCTAACAGTATTAAACATCGTTTCCATAAATGATTTACAGAGCAAGCCAAATTATGTATCTATAAATGAATAGAAAAAGAAAATTAATCTCTCTCTCACAAATGATATATACACACGAAATTCTGCAACGATCATTGCATTGCATTTGATTTCGTTCTTGATAAATATTATTTCTGTTAACAAAAAGCTAAACCCCAATTTTATTCACAGGATGATAATGGTATTATATCCCAAGATTCTTACAATTTAAAGGGAATCGAGTGTCAGGCAAACGATTCTTCGGTAGGGACAAAGAGTTCCATGAAGAGCGAGCCAAACCTAGCGAAAAAGCCATGTATCATTCGACGCACCACATCGTTTTACAGTGCAGTTAAACGAATAAAAAGCAACAAGAAATGTCGGCAAACTGTAACTCGTAGACCGCTGAAAAATCAATGCGTGAATAACGTCGAGAATAACTCTAAAATCCCTACGATTAGATCAGAGGGCATGATAAAGCCGTTTTTAAAGAGCGCCGAGGGTCGATTAAAGAATTCGAATTTTGGCTCTGTCAACGATTCTCTGGGAAGGGAATGTTCGAGTAAAAAGCATACGGCAACAAACAAGCTGTCGAAAATGGCCCTGTCTTCCGAGGAAACGGCAATGATAAAGCACGGTGCAAAGAGATTAAAAGTCGTTTCTGCAAGAATGTGCAAAGCCCGACCGGAGGTCGGCGAATCGTCCAGCAATGCACCGGATGCTACGAAGCCGCCGTCGAAATCGTTCTGTTTACGTGACAAACAAAACGCGAAGGAAACTTCGAAACCCATTAAAAAGTACTGTCGGAGTGTAGAGCAAAAGAAATTAAGGTCTTCCAAGTCGAATGATACGAGCAAAGGCACCATAGTGATAGAGAACTTAATTAGCAACGAGTGTCCAAACTAAATTCTAAACGAAACTAACTCGTAAGCATATAATGTACTACATACGTAGCGATTTTATGATTTCTTTTTAGATGATTATATTAAGCGAAATAATTTACGCTGTGCGTGAAAATTGCCATTAAAACTATTCGATTAGCATGCCCGATGCGACTGTATTGAGAAATCTAGTGCAATGTTGAAAAGAGTGAGATAAATTTTTTGTTTTTGTTGGTTTTTCCATTTTGAAAAGATTTATTGAATTTGTGTTACGCGATTGATGTATTTATGTATATTTTTTTATTCATTTTGAATCGCAGTATACATTGTTCTCTATTGTGTACGCATAGGATATGCGTACGTACACGCTGCTATATTGTTTATGTAAAATGGAGATGAATAAATGATAATATATAATAGCTGACCTCAGGAGATGTTAATTACTATCCGGAGGCGAACTTCTACGTCGGAAACACAAGATTGTTATCGGACAGACTAATGTGGACTAATGGCGCGCATCGACTATCTATCATTTTGAATCACTCTTCGGGCGTTTCCGTTCGCGGTCGGAGAAACACGACTGCTGCTCGTGTATTCCCATTCCATATCCCCTTCTCCCGCCGCGGTCAGTCATACTCGCGTCGCCGTGGCGTTACTTTCGTTTCCGTTGCAATTGCTGACTAGGTTAGCTTCGCGCAGTGTTGTGATCGCTTAGTATTGTTAGGTATTATATTCAAACGTTCGCGTTCTATCCGTAATATAAAATCTCTCGCCGGTGAGCCCAGTCGAACAAAATCTTTCCAAATGGGCGCCAAAAGTGATGTCTGGAGCTTCGCAGTTTTCGCGGCATTCCTGCTTTTCGTCGAAAGTGGTAAGGTTAACGCACGTAGCTAAACGACATGAATATCGTGGCGTTCCTTGGGCGGGGCATTTGTAATTCTTTACTTTATATTCGAACGTGTGCCGAATATTATTATTATAATTATTTGAACGCGTGGAAAATATTGCGTTACGAGATTTAAAAATTATACCGTTGGAGAAGATCTTAGTAATATGGACAAATGAGTAATGGAAAATGCAAAGATAACCCTCCTCGAGGGTAATAAATTGTTTCGGCATTTGCAATTACGTCGGATGTTATCGTGCTTGTCATGACATGTTCACGCGTAGTATTTACATTTAGCGCCTGGTAAACTTCGATCGTTCCATTTCCAGTAGAACGTACGTCGTGACGTATATTTCAAGCGTTTTTCTTTCGATGACTAATCGTAGTGTTGGTGCGATAATGTAGAAGAAATGAATTTGAGATTCTGTATTTTGACGCGTTGTTTTCGTTCAGCCGACAGTTTACGATGTTATCAGTGCATCAGTACGAACAACACGCATCCATTCCAATGCAACGAATTTCTTTCGAGCGACATCGATATCGAACCAGTGCCATGCGATGGTGTTTTCGGGGCGCAGTACTGTGTGAAACACACTGGCCGATTCGAGGGTAAAACAATATCGGCAGATCAAATTACTTGTTACGGGCATGGGGGAATCTAACACTTGAGAACGAAGACTAAACCTAGATTTTACGATAGTTCTGATTCATGCGTTCATCAAAGCATGCTCGATAGATCATCTCAATTTAATTTAATTACAACGTGCCTAACACACTTTAAATCGTGCCTGCGTAGAGCTACTACTATCTATATGTACACATTTCGCTATGGTGATTTTGGCGGGAAAACTGGGAACTAACGTTCAAATTTCTTTACCACTCACGTATACGATACGAGCGCCAGCGAGTTGTCAACATTTTGTTACTGTTTCCTCTTTTTCTTTTTCTTCAGCGCATACTAATCTGCAGTAACTTTTTTCCGAATTAATTAAGCGACAAGTCTGGATTGCTATCAGTGCACGTCGGCGGAAGAACTGATCTGCGGAGACGACAAATTGGTTTCTGGTACTTTGACACCAGCAAACTGCAGTCACGTTTATGATGCACGATATTGCATCAAGTCGATCGGACGATACGGAGGTGTTTATTGCGTAGTTTTGACATTTCTCGATGTCGTTTCTGTTTTTTTACTGTAACGCATCTCATTCTTTTTTGAAACGAAGTAAATTGAGAGTAACCTTATCTGGCAATTCGGTTCTAATAGTTGCTTGTTCTCTCGTAAATAGTTTGTTAATCGAATCTATCGTTTTATTTCATACTCCATGGTTGTTGTAGAGGACGGTCGAATCATTGCACGTTATTTCTTTTTTGCACACGCTTCTTTCGGCTTTCGCAACTTACGTACACGTTTGTTCTTCGACAATAATCAAATACCAATTGTCAGAAAAAGAAACAATATTTCCTGTGTCTGTTACGATAGGTGGAATAGGTACGAAACGGTTCTGTTCGGCTAAGGACCTGGGAAACTATTGCGATTACGTGAATCGACAAGGAGACAAGTTGACGTATCGTACCTGCATTTTTACTTGCACCGGAGACGGCTGCAACTCAGCGACCTCTTTGGGACCGACTGCAGCGTGGTTGTTACCGATAGGTGTGCTAGTGACTTGCAAATTACTCCGTCAGAGGTAGACACTTGGGGTGCAAAATGTCTATGGGACCAATTGAATATTCCCGCGAAATTTCTCAGGTAACGTTCAGTCGTTGACAAAAAAGCGTGCAATTTGTTCTACCGACTTCGTGATATTTTCGCATCACAATCTCTTCCTCGAATTAATCAGACGAGACCATTATTACCCTGACGCGACTGAAGGTTAGCTAGAAATTTAATTTTAATATAATTCTAATCCGTCCATACTGTATCGCTACGATAAACGAATATTTTCTCTTGCACATGAAATCCGTCGCCATTGTGCCTTACTTGAAGCAACAAGTTAGAAATTGTATTTTTCCAAAAGAAGGTAAATACTAATTGTAAGATCAACTAAGAGAACTTATTTGTTAAGAGCTTCAACAATTTAACAGTGCTTAATTAATGTATAGGTTAAAACACGAGCGTGTGTGTTCTCAAAGCCGAATTAGTATAAGTTACGTGTCGTGTAGAACCGTTAATTTTCGAGAACTTTTATAGATCTATTTTTTACTTGTATTTTTTCATTTTTCATATTTTATATATATATACATACGACGAACAGAGACTTATATCGTTCACTTTTGTGTATCATTTTGTACAAAGTATGTGTCACTGTACACAGATTATGACATATCAATACTCGGTTTTCTTTTTTTTAACACGTTGATCGCTCGCTCAGAAACCACAGAAACTCGATCAAATCGAAGCAATAAGATTATTAGCATTAAGATTTATGATATTAACTGCTCCGTTGATTCTTGCGTATTTGAATGGTAACGGAAAAATAAAATTTTAACGACAGTCAACGTGTTAAACACGGAAACACGAGTGGTGTGCGAGTGTAGATTAAAAACTGAAAACAATTGTATCTTTTTTTCGTGTGGACCATAAAACAACGAAACTCGAAATGAATGCATTGTTCTTTATTCACGAACAAGATATCCCCGTTAGTCTTAACTCGTCGATTTCGTTTCCTCTGCATATAAATATAATGTGATAGTCGATTAACTGCTAGTAACAAATTTCTTTTCACGACGAATTCGCAAGGTACTCGCACGTTGACGTTCTTTGGTGTATTATATGTATGTATATCGTTATATTATACAGCGAACGGTACATAGGGTTAGCTAGCACTCTCTCTTCGACAAGACGTACATACTACGCACACGTGTTGGCAGACCAAACCAAATGTTCGTTTCGCTGAAGCGCGGCAGTCATGATAGAATCATGTGCACTTTTGAAATTCGAACGTTCAAACACACTTCCATCATATACTGTAAGCGGTAATAGAAACGAAAATGAATACACATTGACAAATTAAATGAATGTAATTATTCCTTTCTGTTTCTTTTCTATCCGAGAACGACTAACTCGAAAAGCACGCGTTACACGTATACAATATTAATTGGTGAGGAATTCTGCTCGAATTTTATATATATATATATATTTATATCGGTTGAAATTACAATTATATATGTCGTATGAAAAATACATATATATATGTATATATAAACAGTGTATAAACCATTACTTAATTTGATCACTATCAAGCGGTAATAGAATTTTCTTGTGACTAACAATCTTACGTTTGTTGGTCCTAGATAAAGTTTAATTTGACACACACTCACACACATGTATCGGTGTTACTTCTTGGTGTAGCACTTTTCTCTTAACGAAGATTCGTGAACTTTTATATACATTATCTCGTATTTAAAAACGTTGAAAAGACGAGCCTTGACCTTTCTTTTTTTTCATGCTTCTCGATCTTCGTTAAATTAGAACATTTGTTTACATAAAAATTCACGGGTCTTCCTCGAGCATATGTTCAAAGGAAATTACAAAATGAAAGTGATAAAAATGTTTCACAGTTTCTTAAAGCAAACGACCAATTGTTGTTTCTTAGCCTCCGAAATGGAAAATAAAATACCTCCTTATTTTCTTTTTCATCGATCACAGTGCGTATTTACACTGTGCATATATTGCACTCGCTAATCTATAGTACGAAATTAATTATAGCGTACGTACAATAAATATCGTCACTGCCATGCGTTCCCTAAATGAAAAAGACTAATTGTATTGCCACTTGGATCATGGCAGTATGCGTGGCAGTGATAAACACGCTCGATCATTGGCTCTCCAACGAAATTCTCTATCTTACACGTAAAAAGAATTAGTAATTAAATTAAATAATAGATAAATTAATGTACAGCCACTGGCGATAGTAATGCGCGGTACTCTGTTCCTCCGTGGTTGTCCACAAGGACCGGTGTCACCGCGATATCGACTATCGCAGGTAAAAGTTGATCATCGTCGACTCGTGTAAAAGTAAATCTTGTGTAATAAATAAAATCTTTTCGCCAACCGATCGACAAACTTAAAAGCGATCGTTAGAAGAATCAGTTAATATTAGATATTGCATAAATGCATCGAGAGTTATTGCATCGAGGTTGCAGATAAGTTTGCGCGGGGCATCTTATATTGTACGTTGCCGATCGTTTAATCGTATCTTGTGCTTTCACATTTCTCTCTCTCTCTCTCTTCCCGAATGATGTTTATTGCATTTTCGTTTAAATAATCCTTCCCGCGACTTCTAGACGTTCTGCATTTATCTATCACTCTACATAAGGGGGATGCTGTGCAGCGCTTCAAGAAAACACAGTCGCAAGCTGTACCGACCGGTTGAATGCATCCTAAAGTTTAGGATCCTAAACATTAAAGTTAATGTTTCCGTCAAAGTAAGTATCGCTCCCTACCATGATCCATTCGAATAAATCAGTATTTATAACGCTCTCCTTTCCTTTTGTCAGGAATTCGTTAGTCCAGAAAATCAATGCTAGGAATTTCGAAACGGTATTTTCTATTCTATCTCAGGATGCATGCAATGTGTCCGCGCTGTCGTTGCAGTCTACAGTTTGCAGCTACGTTTTCCAAAGGTCCTGTACAGGTCAAACCTCTCGTACGATAAACGTGCATACCGCACAAGACAGGTACAATTCTCCGTGTACTGAACAACTAATACTTCCTCGAGGTTTTGCGTCCATATATCAGATTGATCATTCTCTTAAAGCGCACGATTTTGCGTCGGGCATAGGAGGACGAAGCAGGGAACACGCGTTCGAGGATTCGGCGGAACGAGGAGCACGGTAACTAACGATCTACGCGTAGAGAGGACCGGTTAGAATAGCATCGAGGCGTGTAGAATCGGGTGCCAGCAAAAAGAACGAACAGAGAAGTATCAAGCCAACACACAGAGACAAAAAGCTCGTCTGTATAGCGAAGGCAATAGCGTTTTGAATCACAATCATCTCATCTGTGTTCCAGCATCTCTACGTCGAACGTGTTCAGAGACGGAAATTGACTAAATTATTGTTGCTCGATCGTTGCGCTCACAAAAGTGGTTGTAGCAAGACCGTACATAGATAGGAATGAGGCTGAAGACGAGAATGTCACCGGAAAACTGTCTAAACTCGAGCAACGAGCCGCGTGAATTCGCATAAATATATCCGGTATCGCTCATAAGTACCGTTGGGTGTCTCTCGAGCAACTAGCAACAAAGCTACAGGGCAGATATTTTCTTGAAGCGAGGATCAAAGGATCCCGGTACGGACCAACGTTCGTAAGACGATACTCCGCTAATCGCTACAGACTAATCGCTGTCTACTACGTTCGCTGTCTCGTTAGGTCCGCAGGATCCTTTAGGCCTCGTGTCCGCTCGACCAGCGGGGTTCCATTACAGAGAGGCGATCCTAGCTAAGGAGATCTACTTTCGAAAGTGAAAGTGAGAGGTTCGGAGAGCGGACACGCGGCCAGGGGACTTGCAGGGGAAGTTTATTGGCGCTGAAGTTTGCGTATTTGATCCTCCAGCTCCTTGACCCGTAACTGGCTGTTGGCTAGCTGCCGTCGCACCAGTCTCAGTTCGTCGGTTTGACGAGCGAACGCCAGTCTCAGCTCGGCCTCGTTGTTCGGAATGTCCACGGTCTCCAGGACCTTGTTGTCCGCAGAAGGAGCGATGATGTTCTTCTACGAGCCAGAACCACAGTCAGAGATATTCTAAACAGGCTTTAGTTAGCGTTAGCCAACAAACTACCTGCAGCACCGTGGTGCCAAACTTCTGCTGCAGCTGCTGGAACTTGGTGCTCTGGTTGCTGGAGGTCTTCTGGCTCTTCTCCGAGATCTCGTGGAACTCTATCGGCCTGTAGTCCGGCACAGTCTCGGTGGATAAGAAGGCGAACTTTTTCTTGTTGTTCAGGTCCGTCGCGGGCGGCTGCTGGGGTGGCTTGTAAATCCGCGGCTTGTGCGTGGTAATACTACCCCCTGGTTAATATATGAGTAAGGTAATTAGTCTTGTGCGATTGAAACGAAAATCGTTGACGAAATCAAACGAGTAAAACTTGACCCTACCGGTTTTTAGCGATATCAGAATCGGCGGGCTGTTCATGCCGCTGATCCAGTCCCTGGCCGATAGAGCAGGACAGGTGCCCACCGTGTCCGGGTACAGGTCCTCCTGGAATTGGTCGCTCTGCGAAAGTGAAAGTCGACGATCAGCCGGTCGGAATTGCTAATTGATAGGTCAACGGGATAATATATCACCTTTCGCGGGACTATCATCGCGATCGGTTCGCAGAGCCCGCGAGTCGCGTGCAGCTTGTAGAACCTGAACACCTCGCAGATCGAGGTGCTCACCCCTCTTTTTGGCATCACACCCAGCCCTCTCTGAGGGTTGCCGGAGATGAACTGGCTGAGGTAGTGCATCCAGGGAGCTTCGTTCACTACCTCGTAGTACCTGATGTTGCCGTCACCCTAGGTCAGAACGAAATCGTAGAACGCTTTGAGATTACGATCGCAAGGGATCTATAGAAGAGGCTCGAGCCTACCTTTCCCGCTAGGTACACCATGTTGGTGTCGTTATCGTAGTACGGAAAGACGACCCCGCTAGAGGAATCGATGGTCTCGCAGACCAGCGGAACGGTCAGATCGTGCTGGCTCCAGATAGCGTACTGCCTGTCCGAGTGTCTGCTGAAGCCTGTAGTCAGAAGCCTCCCCGAACCACCGAGGAACACCACCTTGCTAGCTTTGGTCCCAGCGTGACAGACTCCTTCCTGCCCAAGCGGTAATCGAGAGCGGTTTTATCAAAGCCTCCGCGGTCTATGAAGCAATTAAGTAGACACCTACCGAGACTACGATGCCGGATCTCGGCTCGAACACCCTCAACTTTTTGTCTTTGCATGTGGTCGCCAGCAAGCTGCCGTCACGGTTCAACGATATGCTATAGATCACATCCGGATGTCTGTCGATCACACTGACCGCCTCACCCCGGTTTATGTCCCAAACGATCACCAGGTGATCGAAGCCGGCGCTGAAGAGCACGTTCTCGGCTACCGGGTGCCATTCTATGTAGGCGACCCGGCGTTTGTGCCCTTGGAGCTCCACCAGCCAATCGGTCAGGTTTCGGGACAGGCCGCCGTCGGGGATATGCCAGAGCTTGATCTAGAACCCGGGAAAAGCCATCAGAAACGACTCTGGAACGATCAGGAAGTGACACGCTGTTTGGAAACACTTGGACGATGGTTTCGAATAAGCACCCAGTCCAATTGGTTCCAGCAGTTTCAAAAAGAAAAAAGCTGATCCTACAGTGCAGTCGTCGGAGCAGGAGGCGATGACGTTGTCGTTGAAAGGGTTCCACTTAATGTCGAGGACTGGCCCTGTGTGCCCGGTGACCCTGCTGGCGTTGAAGTCTAGCCTCCCGGTCTGAAAGATGGACGCGTGCTATGACGTTAGAAGCCGGACTAAAAATTGCAGGACGGCTTGTAACAACATCCGCGATTACGAGCTATTTGCGTCGATGTACAATTCGATACCCCGGGGTGTTACGATAACACCGACGACGTTCGATAAGAGAGGTACGTTTACTTTGTAAACGCGGTGTTCGCTTCGACGATCGCGCACACTGTAACGAATGTCGAATCGATCCATCTAGAATCTAGATTACTCACGCGATCCAGAGGCAAGACCAGGAACGCTCCACCGCCCGCGACTTCGGTCACCACGGCCAAGAACTTCGGGTTCACGGCGCAGAACTGCGAGTCGTGGGCGTTCTTCGTGATCTTCACGTTGTCGTAGCATTTCTCCCGCTTCGCTGGCACGCCGTAGACGTGCCGGAACTTGCTGCTGCGGACACCGCGGAACCAGGACTAGAAACATGCAAACGTTCTTTAGCCGTTCCTCCTATTCGCTTTGATCCATCGTTGAACCGTTCCGATATTTTTCAGCCCGAAGACACGCATCGGCGATTGCTCCACGTCTCAGCGAAGCGACCACTAACGAGGTGAGATGATTAGAGATCGTTGCTTCACCGGGTGTATAAAATGAGTGTTAATCGACTTATTTCGTTGATGTTCCTAACTAGAGACGGGCCAACAACACGAACGGAAAGTATTTATGCGTTTCTGGGACTCTCACCGGGCTCAGAAACCGTGAAGAAGAAAGTTCTCTGGAACGGAGCTGCCGAAAGCGCGCGCGATCCTTCGATCCCGCCGCGGTTTATCAATTGTTATTATTACCGTTCGGCCATCGTCCGCGGTACGAGAAGAATCCTGGTCAACGATCCTAGTGTTGTACGTCCGAGCGGCCATTGGCAGGGAACGCGCGCGGAAAACGAGCGGTAATCGGCGCCGATGTGAAATCTTTTGGCGTTGGTCGCGCGTGGTGCATAGGAGCCGAGCCGAGTGCAGCTATGCGCGGCGAGACAGATCAAATTATGCGACTTTTTCTCGCGAAAAGTGCGGCCGTCTGGCGGTCGGGGAAGGCTGTGTGCTGCCAGCGCGCCGGAGGCGATCGCGATCAAAAACGAGCGTGATCGACGAGCAAGAATTGTTTGTAATTTCTAGATGTAATACATAATTGCACGAGAACGCTACCCACGCGGCTCGGACAATTTCGAGAAGGAAAAAATCGAAAGCGGCTATCGGACGATCGCGAATCCGTGCCAGATTAGATCCGATTAGTCCTAGCGCTTGCAGAGACTGCGGGCTCGGTAACACCGATCCGATAAGCCGAGTCCCAGATTCGGTGATCCCGATTCCTCGAGATCTGTTACAGCAATTTTCAGCGTTCGATCCGATCCGATCCGATTGTAATTCGAGAGATCGTTTTTGTTATTCTTTCGTTGCATTCCTGTCGATCGGACAATACCATCGAATCGATCGCGTTCCGCGAGTAACCCGACGTAATAATCATCGCGTGCCACGCGGCCTGCAATTAGGGTCACGAATATGTATGTGTGTCTGTATGTGTGTAGCACAGAACTTTCGGTTTAGCAGTCTCTTGAAATGCTACATGAACCGTTGGAGTTCGAACTGCAGAAAGTTATTCATTATCGCGGCACGGTGGTCGATCATAGAAGAACCTGCTCGCCTCGTTAATCGTCGGAACACGGTCCCTGGTCGGAGACAAATATAATAGCTTTTTCTATATACAAAAGAAAACTTGTCGAACCATGCAAACGAAACAAGTCGTTCTAACGATACGGTAAACGCAGATATATAACGTCGTGCTTCGTGCGGAAAGTCTTCGGTAATTAATATTGAAACTATTCTTGCCATTTCTCCTCGACATACCTCGAGACGAAAGGCAGGGTCCGTTTCACTCGGACTTGCGGGGAATCGTATCAATTTTATATGGGATCGATCGGGCGACTGTCCTCGACAGGTAGAATTTCAATGATCCGCCATCGACGTTAACAATCGTGGCATGAACACGGTGAGTTTCTACTCGACCGTGTCATTAGGAATCGCGCGACTCCAATGATTCGTCAGGCTCTAACGATCCGGTAATGTATATGTTAAGTCTGGCAATTTGCTTTTTCAACGGAATGACTCGAATCAATGCACTTTTGTAGGATAGCGATGCGGAGATCCTGACCACGTTTTCCAGCGATCGGTACTGTTCTCCGCGTACCCGAAACGTCGGCACCGATAAAATCCTAAGTGGAAATACCAGTAGCGACTGGCAACAAGAACGATAGCCAACGGACTGTAGAGAACACTCGCCCGACTGGTCGAAAAGTCACCCGAACACCGAAACCACTCACCTGTTTATCATTGGTCATGTCTGATACCAATCGGACTCGGCCGGCCGGGTACACGTGCGCTGTGATACGTTGGTCGCCAGTGCAGAACAGGTACGTACAGGTGTGTATGCGTGTGCGATTGTGCGCGTCGCAATTCGTACAAGCCAGGACCCATGCATGCGAACGATTAGGAGAATTTCGATTCTAGCTCCGGTATCGCTTCCTTCTTTACTGGAAGAAATCGAAACAGAAGAGGGAACACGAGGTTGACCGACCGATTTATTTAGGCGACTGCTCGCCGGATCGAGGCCGAATTACAAGTGCATCGATCCGCGACCACCGGTTACCTATCGGCTCGCGGCTCTTCCCTTCCCCCTTTGATCGACCCGCGAAACGCCTCGATTGGCCGCGAACATCGTTTCGACGCGTGACGACAACTCGCAATTTTATTACCGCTATCACCGTCTTCGAGACAAGGTGGTTCGGGAGGAGGCAACTCTGACAGAGACGTCGGAAGACCTGGAAGAGCTAGGATTTTCCCAAGGACCACCGGCGAATCCCCTGGCACTGTAATGACACCCTTCTTTTCTAATCTAGTGTCATTTTTGCAGGTTTCAAGCCGCCGAGAAGATGCTACCAATTTTTAAATTCGACTCGACAGGAAGCTCCCGCGTTCAGCAGGTAAACTCATGGCCAGTTCTCTTTGCAAAGTAGGATCCACTTAACTGCCACGCTATGTATCGTTCTCAACAGCTGTATCTCGTAAGGATCAGCCAACGCTCTTCGGACGGAGGCAAAGATACTCCACCCACGTGTCCGGAAATTCTTCGGTTGTACGGCAATCCTTTTTTATTTCTACACCGAGTTACGCGTACGCTTACGTCACGTCTCGAAATCAATGTCGTCCGTGGACCAGGAAGAGGGGAACGATGAGCTCAGGTATTCGTCGCAAGACCGACTCTACGTCCCGTAGACGAGCAGGAAGGAACCAGTGGTCATTAGCTAGGCGGTTCTTTCTATTCTCTTCAACTATCAATTATTCAGCTCTCCTTGCGTGGTGTAACATGGCCTAACGTTTCTATCCTCTGTATTTTAACAGAAACGTCCATGAGAAACCAGATGTTCCCAGTATTGTGCTCGATCAAGATCGCTATCAGATAAGAGGATCGATATTAGGCGTTCCAGCGGGTCGTTCCCGTTATCGGATGATTTCGAGTTAAGCTCTCTCTTTGTCTCGTCCGGATTATTATGATGATTGTTCGCTTCAACGATTCTTTCGACCGTTTCTCGGAGCGTTAATAACCGCCCTCGTACTCGCGCTAATCGCGTTTACCGCAGAAACGGCTACCCAAGAGCGTGTACAGCGGGCCGGAAAAGGTCTCCGTGTTTCTTTTCTGTTTGCGCATTATTAACCTCGTTGAGTCTCATTAATCGGGACTTGGTTGCCCCGGTCGGTTGTCGGACTGTACGCGAGAGAAACGGATACTTTTCCAAGGCACTGTACGCGCATATCAAAACAAAGTGTACCTGTTTGTCCATGGGACGGCGAACGGCACCGTGGAACGTCTTCCACGTTCGTTGGGCTCGCAGGCGGAACAAGACCCGTGTTAAGAAGTTCTCGAACGACTTCCGTGGGAAGCACGGGTTCCCCCGTGGCCGCACAATAAGGTTCCCCGGCGAAACGTGTACACGCGATAGCGCCGAAGAACGAGAGCCGAACAACAACGGCGAGCACTGTTGTGCTCCGTCCGCGCGATATTCAGCACCAACGAACGCCGAAGAACGTGGTCACGCAACGCGGCGTTTCATTCAGAGAAAAGAAGAAGGGCCGGCGCGAACAGCCAGCGCAAAGTACCGCGCGCTTACGTTTACGATCGGCCAGTCTCAGACGCGCGCGTTAGATCGCGAAAGTCGTCGAGCAAGCACTGCCAGTTAGCCGCTATCCAGCTCTATGTAGACGAGTATACACCGCCAGCCGCGCGTCACGTGGTGCACGCTCCTCGCTGCGTGTTTAACACGCGAGCGTGACGCTTTTATAGAAACGCGCGCGCCTGATCTTCTTGTGCGAATGACGCGTAATTCGCGCGCGGTTCTCTGTGCCCGCGGACGGATCCCGAGAAGATATCTACAGTGACGGCCGCATGCTTAAAGACAACTTCGACTTTGTATTTGAAACTGCATTTAAATTTTATGATTCTTGAATTATCGGTTCTCTCTCTCTCTTGAAATGTTTTATAGTAGCTTGTGGTCGCCACTGGATCACGTTGACAGTCTACGTATTACCGCGTGAGAAGGGTTCGTTTCTTTTCTGCTGAAAATATCTCGAAGAAGTTAACGATTGCCGTCTGAGGCAGGTTTTGTGTAAACTCGTGTTCTCGTTGCTTAATTTGCGTTTCAAATATTTACATTCGCGGGAGGGAGGAATGGAAATTCCGGAAGTGCACTCGAGGTACTTGGATGGTTCTGCTGAAGGACTTTCCGGTCCCTCGATTAACCGATGATTATAAACTTAACGAATACTTCCTTGGAGAAATGGATAAAAAGAAAAAGTGGAACTGGCTGCCCTCCCCCATCGCGGTCGTCAATCAATACCAATTTCCTTAAATCAAGCCGAACGCTCGCAAAGTGGAACGCTCTAATGCAGCCTGATTCGAAAACAAAGGCTAACGACACACTGTAACGGTTACAAGCAACCGGTACGCTACACAATCGATCGGATCGATAATAAGCACACGTAACAACAATGCATTCTTTAAGCTAAAAAAAAAGGCAGTGAAAAGGAACCACGCAAGAGGCAAGTCGAAAACATCGTCTCATCGTCAAAGGCGGTATCGATCATGAAAACACAACAAGCAAATCAAGTGTCCATCTCCGCTGACTGGGGTGAATTGGCAAACCAAGGATCAAAAACTTGCTGAGGAAAAGTAAATAAATAGAAGCGATCACTCGAAGAACCAGACGGAAGATGCAACGATCAGAGAGGATGAAATCTTACTTTTCCGCTGGGCTTGTAGCACGCTCTGACGTCTACCATATTGTTCAACAGGGAATGAGTGTCATCCGTGGCGTCCAGGCCTAGTTTCTCCGCAAATTCCTCCCTCGAGCGTATCATTTCCCAGTTTGCGATATTATATCCCATAGGATCTCTTTGATACTCCAATAATTACTGTGCACGCGCGTTCGTTCCCACGTCACCAGCTCAGCCCAGAGCCTGTTGTGTTCGTCTGTACGACTCGGCGTTCGTTTCAGTTGTTAAAAACGGTTTAGCAGTTGTTCGGCGATCGTGAAACCTCGTCGATCACGTATCCTACACTGGTCAGAGAAGAACGGGTTGCTCGCGATTCGGAAAATCGTGGACAAAAGGGCCACGTGCGAACGTGCCACCGCTCTGCCCACCCGATTTCGTAATCTACTCACTGAACCCGGCACATGGACACGGCGTCGCGCCGCGTATCGATTGCTCGTCGTGCGCGCAACACGTAAACACACGAAGAGCACGTCGGCCCCGAGAGCCAGTGTGGCGATATTCTGCTATAAAGAGTGTAAAGTCGCTTCGAATCGAACGAGCGTCCCGCGCTTCCATTCCACCATGCCGTGGATCCCCCCTGATGCCTGCAAACCCGCTCTACGTCCGCGTTGAACCGCGACGCGGCACACAACGCCGGCAACCAGCCGCCGAGTAACAACTTATTCGCTCGTTGTAAGCAGAAAGCGCGACATTTTCGTTCGCCAGCTGTCTGGCTTGTATCGCTCGTCCTCCTCCCCGGTTGCCCGTGAAGGGGGATGAGCGCATACAGGGTGCTCCAAAATTATACAACCCGAAAGTACGGGAATGCTATTTTGTAAGCGCGATACCGGCAAACCTATGAATCATAAACTGCGTATCCACAATTGTTTCGCATCGTGTCGTATTGCACTGGCGTATCAAGCGCTGCATCGATGCATATACATGTAAACGGACATGTACACAAGTATAATACGCCATAGCGATACGATACGAATACGCAGCTATAAGATATACACCTAATGGAGTTTGAAAAATGTTTAAATATCCATATCGGTGGATATAGAGTGTTATCGAAAATATTCGAAAGGTTCGGTGTCGGCTTCGGCAACAATAGAAATATCCAGCGTGAGGACTAATTTTCTTCATTTACTATGGAATTTGTCAATTCAAAAAATTGCACTCCGAATTTTTAGAAGCTACAGTATGCACATAGACGCCTGTCAGAGTAGGCTAGCACTAACACACTTTGTATGCAAACAATAATGTTTACAAACAGTGTTGTAGTCCTTGCGGATCAATGAACGCTACGCTACGCGGCGTTTTACTATTGAACCCCAATGGACAATTGAATGAAAGGTTGCAAAGTTTGAGTTTGAATGGACCTAGAGATTCGTGACTTTTTCTACAAATATTTGCGAACACCCTGTATTGTGTGTGTATGTGTGCCCGCGCCGCGAAATAACGCGTGACACGATTGTCCATCAGCGAATTTCCGAAGGATGAATTCCCGTTTCGCAGGAAGCGTCACGAACGGTGTCACGAGAACGGCTTGAAAAGTTCGCGGTCAATGTACGAAAACGACGTATTCCTGTCATAACTACTCAATCGTTTTAATCCGATGGGAACACTGGCAGTCGACACTCACCGCTTATGTCCGTGCAACACCGATTTACATATCGATTTGAACGCAGACGAGGCGTTGACACGCCGTGATGGGAGGCGGTCTGCTCGAGAAACGGTACGCGATCGTTGCTCACTGGACCGAGAAAAAGAATTTGACGAACTGATTTCATGGAAAACTCTCCATTTAAAATGCTCCGTTTCGCAGCGTTAAACGATTCGTATTGAATACCAGAAAGAGAATAAATAAATGATCGAACGATGAACTTTGTCAGAATATTTTCGTAAATAGAATGGTGAAGCGAATCGCGCGTTGATTGAAGTTCCTTTTGGGGAATCGAAACAGCTGTGAGATGATAGACAAATAATCGCAAATCTACCTACTGCTGCTTTACACTTGTTTGTACCGACGTTGCACTATCTTGTTGCAGCTTTGTGCCGCCAGACGGCAGTTCGATGTCGTTGCTGTATTACGGGTTGCCTATGCAGTGCTCTAACTTTCGCGCATTGAATGAATAGGTTATATTTACATTAGAGGTAGAGTGTAGAACATGTTCTGTTGAAGTTTATTTATTTATTAGAATTTCCACAGTGATCTTGGTCGTGCGAGATTACATTTGTTTCAATGATGGGATCCGACCATACACACAGGCGATGGAGCAATTTGCGAAAAGTATTAGAAAGATCCGGTCCTTTTTGTAGGCCGGATTTTGAGCCGTCGTCGGAGACCTTGCAATTTTTATTAGAAAATTGCAAGATCTTGGTTATCGGTGCTGGCGGTTTAGGATGCGAATTGCTAAAAGATTTAGCCTTGATGGGGTTCAGACACATTCACATAATCGATATGGACACGATTGAATTGTCTAACTTGAACCGGTATGATAAACTACCTAAACGGACGAACACAGATTTTTCAGAGTATAGTAATTGAATTCATTAAAATTGCAGACAGTTTCTGTTTCGTCACAAAGATATTGGCTTGTCGAAAGCGGAAGTAGCCGCACGATTTGTGAACGCTCGAATTCCGGGCAGCAATGTTGTACCACACTGTTGCAAAATACAGGACAAAGACGAGGAGTTTTACAGACAATTCCATATAATAGTTTGCGGCTTAGATTCGATTGTTGCGAGGAGATGGATCAATGGTATGCTACTCTCCCTTTTGATCTATGAAAATGGAGAGTTAGATAAGTCTAGTATCATACCAATGATCGATGGTGGCACAGAGGGTTTTAAAGGAAATGTGAGGGTGATTTTGCCTGGACTAACTGCTTGCGTCGAATGCACTTTAGATCTATATCCCCCTCAGGTGAACAGTCTACTTGTTTTTTACCTATAGACCGTAATCTGTATGATAGCTATATTTATTTTAATTGCAATTACCTCCAAATATAGGTCACGTATCCATTATGTACAATAGCAAATACTCCACGTTTACCAGAACATTGTATAGAGTATGTAAAAGTAGTTCAGTGGCCAAAGGAAAATCCATTTAATTGTCCAATAGACGGCGATGATCCTCAGCATATTAACTGGATCTATGAAAAGTCTATTGAGAGAGCAACGCAATTCGGTATACAGGGTTTAACGTACAGACTGGTTCAGGGTGTAGTTAAAAATATTATACCTGCTGTAGCATCAACAAATGCTGTAATTGCTGCAACTTGTGCTACAGAAGCATTCAAGCTTGCTAGTAGTTGCAGTGCCTCGTTGAATAATTACATGGTAATTATGCAACTGTAATATTTACCAAACATGGATTTTTTAATCTAGTTAATAAATCATTTTCTTTGAAAGGTGCTGAACGATTTAGATGGAATATATACATACACTTACGAGGCAGAGAAAAAAAAAGATTGCGTAGCATGTAGCCAGATTCCAAAAGAAATCGAGATTCCTAATTCTAAATTCAAACTAAGTGACCTGATAGAGCTTCTTTGCGAAAGACCCGACTTGCAAATGAAAAATCCGGGTCTTACTGCCAACATTGATGGTAAAAATAAAACTTTGTATATGCAAACTGTTCCAAGCATCGAAGAGAAAACACGTGAAAACTTAATGAAAACATTAGTCGATCTTGGATTGAAAAACGGTAATGAGATCAATGTTGCCGATATCACCACCCCTAATGCAGTTGTGTTAAAATTAAAATTTGTATAGTCTAAGATATAGATATCTTAAGCTCTAATCATAAAACTTCTTCATTTGGTTCACGATTTTATGGCTACAATCGTCATCGTGTATTTACAGTATTTATATCAACCTTTAATCGGTTTTAGAAATGTTAGGAAGACAAAAATTTTATCGGCAAAATCAGAACATCTTCGATGTAGTATCGTTTTCAACGAATCTATAAAATAAGTATCACACGGTAACATCATTTTAATATTAGTTCACTCTAAATTTCAGTAATAAATTGGTATTGCTATGTTCTCTTGTAGTAGCACTAATTTTCTTTGCCTATCCTTAGATGTAACAGAAGCGAATATTAAAACTATGTTAATTTATACGACACAGCTGTTACATTAACAATAAAGACACGACTGCGAATACGTTTCTATATTTCTGATGTTTAGTTCTTACTTTCATCAGAGTTCTTATAGTATAGAAAACTTAGTAAGTCATAATCCATAAAATTCTATCATGTTCGATAGCAATTTATAATCTAAGAGTTGTGTAACTTCAGAAGTAGACAGTATCTTACAGATTATGCATTAATATGCCACTATCTTGAATGAGAAAAAAAGAAATATGCACTTGTCAAAATCTATAGTTATCAGCTTGTTATTAAATTTTTTTAATAACAATTTCATATCACCATTTTCAGTTTTATGTTCAGTATGAACTTTGTGCACAGTCCTCTTTTGCATCGTAGAGATTTCAATCATTGACCTCCGTGCAATAAAAGTATTTAATTGTTAACTCTCACTGGTGATTGCAAGTGTCATCTTAAAAACTTTTCCAGTATTCAATAAATATGTCTACGTTAACTAATGTGTGAAATGTAAAGAAAAGAAGGTATTCGAATCAGGGCAAATGAAGGACAGTGCACGATGGCCTAAGACATCTTTTGTTTTACAAGCACACTCGGTAACATTCGACATATGCACAACTTGAGTAGAAAAAATATCTATAACAGATACATTATCTATCCTCCTCATACAAAACTATCATTACATTGTTATAATATTTTATAATTTTCGCCTTTCATCACGGCAAGACGAGCATCCTCAAAGAATATTTTGTTCTTCGAATCATTTTTTCGTTTTACTTTTTGTTTCGCTCGAACGTGAATAACACGAGGTGTACCTGTAATTATTAAATTTCCAGAACTTTCGCTGTAAGTGTGGAATTCAATAGATTAAAATGTTTTCTGACGGTTGGGATATAGCTTTGCAACGAAATAATCCGTGAGTCCATTGGTATTTCATTGTTTATACGGAATTCGAATATGAACATTTCCATTCCAATTGTACAATTTAACATTAGATGTTATTTTTTTTTCTTTCCTCTTTCTTTAATGGTGATTCTCATTTACTAGACACGAGATCCAAAAATTAACTACTGCAAAACCAATAACGGTGTCAAAGTGAATCGTGACGATCATTGGCAGTGCATTCAATAACTGTGATTAGTAGTGATTCTGAAGAAATTAGTAAATTCTATTAGTTTAATTAAAATTTCAAACGGACATCGTTTAATCTAATATACTTTCGTTATAATGCAAGAATATTTACGAAATAAAAATCGTACTTTATTGTTGTTTCTTCTAAAAAAGAAACAATATGAATGCACGTGCGATTCCTCTTTCTGGCTCGGTTGATCTAGCTCGCACAATACAGTCACAAAATCGACCATTATTCTGCGAAACAAGTTCCATATATTCGAAATGTAATACAGGTCAGCTGCAAAATGTCTTATGAATAATCGTCGTTCAGTATATAATACCATGGTCCATTAAAAGATATTTCGCTATAAAAACGTAAGTGTCAATAAGTGGCGGCATAATGTGTTTGTAAGGTCGAATTCTTACAGGGCAGAAATCTCGACACTTTCATCAAATGATAAAAATATGTGTGTATTACACGAGTAACAATGATTTTTCTGGCGTTATACAGGCAGAACAATGTGAAGGTACACAATTTTTAAGTGTTGCGTTCCTATGATGGAACAGGTACAAAGGGTCCATGACGTCAAATAGTGTCCAGTTTCTGCTCTGAAGCCAATAAACGAAAAGTAACATAAAGTGCACGATGTCAAAACGTTATGATGAACGCTAAAATGGTTGTGTTAGGCCTTGGCGTCGACTTCCATTGCCACTTCACCTACAGACTTTTCAGCCTTCTTTTTCTTCTTCTTTGCCGATTTCGGGTTTGCAGATGTGTATAAAAGAGTCTATAGGAAAATCGATTAATAAAAGAGAAGTTGCTCGGTAATTTAAGCAAATCAAATATTTGATCTATACCTTCAATTCTGGATCTTCGACAACGCAATCGGACTGATAATTATCGAGGTCGAAGGGAAGTCCTGTTATCTTATGTGGCCCGTTTGGCATTAGTAGTACCGTGAATTTGAATTGCGCAGCAAATTCATTTGGCTTCTCATATAGTACCTAATTAAAGAAAAATATACATATATGTATATTAAGTCCACAATATAATGTGAAAAAGAAACTTTGTTGTAATTGATACATACATGGAATGGTTCGATCAGCCTATGACTCACGCATTCCACCACCGCCATTTTTGCTTTCTTCTCATCTTCAAAAGTACGTAAATTAAATGGCATCAAGCCGTGTTTATGAGTGAGTTCACTGTAAAACATGCGTGATGCTTTCAATTTCAGCAGATATGTTTCCTCTGTTTTCTTAAATATCGTCACACGCGTATCTTGTTCTCTGCCTACACCTTCGCCGCTACTCACCACGACGTCCATAGCATATACCTGATAAAAATATACACATACAATCTTGTCATATGGATATCTTCCTCGCTACAGTAAAGCATTTGATAGTATTAAGCACCTCGTGAGTTTCAAGGGTATATTTCTCGTGTTCCTTCTTCTGTGCATCATTGGGATTTTGAATAATAGTTTTCTCACCATCAATTTTGAACTGTTTCAATTGATGGCTCAACATCCCTTCTATAGGTTTACATTTGTATGCCTCGCAAATTTTTTCTACTGTGCCTGTTATTGTATAAGTCTAAAAGAACAATAATTACATAAATAATTGTTACAGCTATCGATGCAATATTTATTTCATATCAAACTTGAGCCTTACCTCTGTACCTGGCTTCAAAAGCCTTAATGCAGCTTGAGACGCATAATGTGCAGCTAATACTACATCTGCCCTTCTACCAGTAACTTTTTTTTCTGACGATGAACCTATAACAATAGTATGTGCAACAACTGCTATGAAGCCATCAATATGTGCTCCAAGATCTCTAAAATTTTGAAAAAAATATAATAATAAATGTGGTGTATTATTTTCTTATAAGGCTACAACAACAAATTCTCAAATGGTGAACTTACACTTTTACCATGTCCTCATCTTTAAGAATAAGATCTGGTTCATTTGCAATTGGTGAGAAGTGACAAATACAATTATTAACCGATATGCACGTAGGAAAAGCAATTCCTTTCTTCAGTTCTTTCTCCTTTTTAAAAACCCTGCTAGTTTCTTCTAGTAACAATTTGTCTCCATACTCGCATATCTCTCTCACAGATGCTCCAACAACACATTTATCTAAAACTTCCCTTAGTACTCCTACAAGAAACAATAATTACTTATTACATATAGTAAGAAGCAACATTTTATAGATAATTGTTTTGTGCATAATTAAAAAAAGATAAATATAAGTAAATGTTAGTCAACATGCGAGCAATACATCAGTGGTACTTCTACAATCAAAATTAGAATGAACAAAGTATAAATTTGGTAACGTAAAAACAATGAAAAGAATGTTCCATAATTTGTACGAAAATGGAAAGACGGCGGTGGGACAAGCAAATCATGGTCCACAAGTAAAAACGGAAAGTTCTAATTGAGAAAGGATTAAACAGACAAGTTCTTGAATCGAGTGGAAAATCGTGAATAATTTTCTATTCGATCAAGCATTCACGGAAATATGGAAATATAACGTTGGTTATCGCCAAGTTATCAAAATGTAATGGTCAATGCTGGTCTATCCCACATGGTAAGCGGGCCCGGCATTAGCGCGCCACATTCCATATGGCCAACCGGAAAATAGAACATTACGGGGCTCGTGGTTTTACGGGACGGTACCACTTTTGGATTCTGCGGTTCATTGCACAGCATTAAGTCATTTCCTTACGATTCACGATCCCGCCGGCCATTTTATACTTGGTGACAACGATGTCTTCAGCAATGGTCTTCTCATTCTCGTCTTTGTCCGCCATGTCTTCAGCACACTATGTTACAATCACGTGACTACGAACCTTCTTTGCAGTTGCTTCTGCACAGCACAGAGCGTGTAACAGTCGGCGCTACTGACCGTCTTGAACTGAATCCTGAATCTGAATCGTGTGTTCCGAAACTTTCTATAGATGGTCATCGTCAGTATGTATCGAAACCAAAGACAAAGCTCCCCCATATGTACATTATGTTTCGATCATTTTATTTCCGTAACTACCGATATTTTCATAGGGTCAAAATTTTGGTGGCGTTGAATAAGTTATATATAATATCGTTTTACGGTACTACCAAGTTTGCTTCCAAAATAGTTTGCCATTAATGATACAATGTATGTATGATCGTTCGAAAATATCGATTGATTGTTTCAGATATTCAATGCGCAACAGCATGAATAAAAAATTATTTTTAATCGACAACTTCGAAAACCGTATACAAATTTATTTCTATCGTTTCTTTTTTTTTTGGTGTAAAGTTTTCAAAAAATAAATGTACACATGTATGCAGCACGTTTTACTGTCCCATCGAATATCGCAACGTCCAATGTTGGCCGACATGCGTCCTTCTAAAACGTGTTTCATGCCTTATGGATCCTGAGGTTGGTCCTGTGCTCTATCGAAACGCGGATTTGATTTACATTCAGTTAAATTCGAGCAGCAATCATGTCTACAGGTAAATTTTTCTCAAAAAATACAGAACAGTGCTACGCGTTTCACTGATTGATTCATATTACGAGCAATGAAATCGATGGTGTTGATATGCTTTTACCATTTTATTACGACATAACCAAACTTCTTGCCAAATCCAGCATGCTTTCAATATTGGAGTACTATGTATTAAAGATCTCTTTGAATAATGTCGGCTGACGCCCGCCTTTTTTCGTTTCAGGCAAGAAAGGAAAGAAGAAGAAGTGCAAAACCCTAGATTTAATGGCATTTTTGGCTGATGGGGGTACAACACCCACTGTGCCAATAAAACCATTGACCAATTGGGCAGATGATACAGAAGAGGAACATGGTAAAACAAATTCACAAATACATCGACTATTATCGTTTTATTTTGTTACCTTTGCAATCATTTTAAATGATAATTGTACATGGTTATTGTATAGTATGTATATAAAAATAATTTGAAAAAAAAAAGAAAATTTTACGAATGGTCATCAAGCATAGAATTATGAATATTCATCAGCAGTATATTCTAAAACATGAATAGAAATATAAAAAATTTCTCTTCAACCGATATCTAAGGTAGTAACTTAATAATACTTTAGAAATCAAAGATAATTCATTTAGAATTGTTTAATAAATTATAAATCAGTAAGTTGTCCTTAAAACTATTCCTTTGTGATAGAAGGATATACATCGAGAAGCAGCAAAGAACCTGTAGTCCTACCCACTGCTCCAAGAGCTGCAAGAGATCCAAGAGGTCTTGATGACGATGTCCCAACCAATCCTCCTTATGTAGCATCACTTTCTAATCTTCCTTATGAAGTGGATGAAGCATATCTAGCAGAATTTTTTTCGGATATGAAGGTCAGATTATCTTCTTTATTTATTCACAAGATATTTCATTTGTCAGAACAATTTATATTATTTTTGTTTTCTAGATCGCTAATATACGTCTACCAAAAGATTCAACTAAACTCAAAGGATATGGATATATTGAATTTGAAGATCGTCAGAGTTTAATTGATGCTCTTAATTTACCCAATACCGTAAGTCTAGTGTTTTGAAATGCGACAAAACAGTATTATTGAATATGTATAGTATATATTTTGTATCGTTCACAGTCTATGAAAACAAGAAGAGTACGGATCGATGTTTTAAATAGCTCTAACGATGATCGTCGCGGCGGACGTATGGGTAGAGATAATCGTAGAGATACTTATGATGATCCCGAGCGTACGTCTGGAGATTGGAGGAGCGGTCCAAGGGACAGTGTACCCGCTGATGGAGATTCGTATAGAAGCCGGTACGATAACAGGGACAGAGACAGAAGAGATGATCGTGACGGTATTACAATCAATCTTTAATGCATAATCGCAATTACAAGTTATAAAAAGACTAATAAAATCTACATCATCTAGGCTCCGATTATGATAACAAACCCGGTGGGTGGCGTGAAAACAACGATAGAGGAAGACCGCCAATGCGTGACAGAGGTGGTTTCAGAGACGATGACAAAGACAGAGATAGAGATGGAGACAGAAGGGGCGGTTTTGGATCCCGTCGTAATTATGGCGATGCCGAATATGATCGAGATGGTCAGCGTAAGCAAACAAAATTACCACCGCCTATGGACAGTAAACGTAATTAATATTTATATCGTTCGAGTCACAGAATTTGATGGATGTTATTCTATATCTTCCAAAACTTTTCGCTACAGAAATATTTCTGTTTTAGCTGATTCAAGAAGTAGGCCGAAACTGCAATTACAACCCCGTACAAAACCTGTAGAAGCTGGTGCTGTAAAAGAAGATCAACCTATAAGAGAGGGTTCTTCATCTACTCCTGCTCCGGCTACCACTCAGGCTTCTACACATTCTCCTGCAGCTACACCTACTTCTACTCCTGCTCCAGCTTCTGCTCCTGCTCCTGCTCCTGCTCCTGCTCCTGCATCTACTCCGTCAACCAATATATTCGGTGCAGCAAAACCAGTGGATACCACAGCCAGGGACAGAGAGATAGAAGAACGTCTGGCTAAATTGTATTCAGAACCGAAATTCAGGGATGAAGGGTAAATTGAATTAGCTAACTAGTGATACTATCGAAATATGGAAATAAAATTGGTGTTAATCTTTTATATTTCAGTGATCCAGAGAAACGTGGTAAAGATAGCACTTGGGGCAGGCGTAACGGAGTAAGGATCCAATATGTACAGGATTTCGCAACCTATACCGCCATTTCCATATTTGACCAAATTTTTATGAACTTTTCTAGGAAGGTCGTGAAGATAGAGAAAAGGATAGAGGTGGTCGACTAACTTGGCGAAATGATGACGACAGAGGTCGACGAAGTGAAAGACCAGCACCACAAAGTCAGCCCGCTCATTCTGGTAATTTATATTAAGATCATTTCCAAACAAATTTATTGATATAGTTCTTAATGTGAGTTTCTTTTTATTTAGATCAATATGCGGACTCTAGAGGTTCACTTCCCTTTCGCAGTGGACCCCCACCGAAGGGACCCCAAAGATCAAACGATACTCGTGGTTCAGATAGGTAATTCGTTTCTTTTTCTCATTCTTATATGGGACATTTTTATTTTAAAAAATCAGTATGTAATTCTTTTTAATGTGCACTTGTAGAGACCGAAAAGACAGAGAAAAAGATGATGTCAGCAGAATGTCAAAGACAAAAGATGATCAAGCTCCAGTAAGTCGAAAAATATATATGAACAAATATTTATGGTAATGATTATACATAACTTTGTTTATTACAGAATTTCGTAGCTTCCAACAAGTATTCCATGCTACATGATGATGTGGACCCCGACAATATTGATGATTAATTCTGATCATTGTATGTCATCAATGAAATTGTGCCACACGCATCATAAATTGGTCTATATATGCATATTATTAATTTGTTTTATCTCTATTAAAAGATACTTATCGAATTGATTCTTGAATCAAATACTAAGCTCTTGCTATTACTTTACAGGAATTATTGTTGATTTGTATTTAATCTATTTTATTATTCATAATATAATTATCTGTCTACATATGTATTTACTTTATATTTTGGCAACGAACATTCAATACCATTAAATCGATGTGCGAAATCTGATAATATTAGAATGGTGGAGTTATATTGATGTATTTTTCTCTCTTTTTTTTAATATTTAATTCTAAAAATAATTGCATCTGTAAGACTTAGGAATTGGGACTTTGTACGTCATACTTTATCTACTGTACAGTTATTTTACGATGTATAACTCATTTACATGTAATATAACAATGCCAATTTAGGAGGGAACGATTAAAATGATAAGTGTATGGGAACTTGAGCGATGTATTATATTCAAGTGCCTAGAATTCGATATCACGCAAGATTTAATGAACAGAAATGTATAGGTAATTGCATTTGAACATCGAAATGTTACATCCAACATGAACGCAATCTATTATGCATCTGTGTGTTACATCGTCACATTGAATTGTTAACAATCGTGACACACAATATCTTGAAACTAAAACGTGGACTGATCGATAAGAAATCTTTTATAGTCATTTTATCATAATAACAGTAAGTTTCGAAGAATTATGCTTGGAGACGTATATATTAAAAATTATGTATTTACAATCTTTCTTGAGGTATATACATATTGACTTCGGTTTCGTTTACTGCTGAGTGGTCTGCGCTAATTGGCGTAGCTGTTTTAATACGGTTTCTAATAATTTTTTCTTATCTCTTTCGCTCTTTTTCAGTACAGCGAATACTGTTTTCTTATCAGACTCTTTTAATCTGCAAACGTATATTTTGATATGTAGATACTGGTGAAATGTTGCACCAAACGATATATGATATCACGGTTATGATATGGTTACATACTTCTCTAACAACAGTACAGCCATGTTCGGAGTTACCAGGTGATATTTACTCGATTCGTGGCCATAGTCGTGGAAATAAGTAGGCCAGTCCAAACTCATGAATAAATCTAGTAATTGTCTTAATTGTGCGAAATTTTGAAGCAAGGTTCCTTCAGGCAAGCCGACCACGGGTTCCGAAGCGGCGAATTCTAAAAGTTTTCGTATCTTTTTAAGTTACATGCCAGTCGGCTCGGTACAGCTACGAATATTCTGTAACCAGATATTGTACATCTTAATGAAGAAAATAAAACGAACACGTACGTTCACACTGTATTGTATCTAAATTGACTTGTTGAAGAGCACCCATAGATATTTGTTTTACGTCCTCGCTAACTAGAATGGCTAGTATAGCCTTCGCTATGTGAGAACAAGCAGCTTTGCAAGCAACTTGAGCAACTTCTTCCTAAAAAAGATAAATATTTATTATTTACAATTGCTTGAAATTTTATTATTGTGCTACCTCACGTGAAACACATACAGGTAAATTGGTGAAACAGGTGAAAGTACTTTGCAAGAATGCTATGAGATCAGTGATAAAACCGGATGCATGTCCTTGAGGTTCTGCTAGATTCCAGTCATAATTTTCTAATTCCAAAAATTCGTCTAGCTTATTCGTTAATTTGTTGCAAATTTGTTTCTCAGCATCGTCTCTTGCTACTCTAAACATAGCTGATTCGACACCCATGCAGCTTAGCTGTCCTTCATGCGGTGTTCTGCAATTGTGTGTGTTTGTATGTTAATTAGTAATAATTTAATTTTAGAGATATTATTCATACTTTAATGATAGTTTAATTTTTACCCCGTGATATTAGTTACAAACTCTTCCAAATACTTTGTAGATTTCTCAAGGTACCCTGTGTTTATAATAATCTGAACTACTTGTAAGAGAGCCAACGATGGTTTCTGAAATAAAGAAGATAGACAACCACTAAATGTTCTCGTTAATAACAAGTTGGTTGATTTGCAGATCATTTCATCTATCTCGGTCTGTGTGAAATTTAAGTCCTCCGAAAACTTGAGACAGGCATAGATGAATTCCTTCACTTGCTGGTAAACTTTTGGTACCATATCCGAGAATGGGAACTTCTTCGGAAATTCCGTTTTTTCTAATTCTTCGTCGTGATAGGGAAATAAATCCAGAATATTATCATATTCCTCTTGTGTTGTGACCTATAAGTTTTAATATATATGTAATTTTTATAATGCATAAAATATCTCACACAAATACGTACCTGAATTGGTAAGAAACTATCTTCATCTAAAATGTCTCTGAACACTTGAACCCAATGCTGCATCAAAACCTCGTTGTAATGTACACGAATTTCTTGTAACAAATCCCAGAGTTGTCCTACAGAATACCCATAATTCTATATAAGAGGAAAAGATAGATAATAAATATTTTTATCCAGTGTAATTAGTTAATAATGCGACAGGCCATCACTTACTCTTAAAGTTGTATTGAACAGCATTATCAGATTTTTGATTCTCAGTATAAGTCTTGCATCTGTGCAGTAAGCCTAAAATAGTATTGTAGTTAATAACTGAGTAGTTTTTGTGGATAATTTTAATAATAATTTATTGCTTACAGAATGAGTACGAAGTGCATTGACTATCTGGGACAATGCCATGGACCACAGTTCATCCAAGTAAACTCTCGTTGCTAAACCATTGCCTGTATTCAAAATATGATCTTCCACTACAAAGAATCCCACAATTCCTTGTAGGTAAGTCTGATAGCCTGTTATACTCTCATGCTGGAAATGTAAAATAAAAATTGAGTATACGTGCGAGGAAACTGCTTCTGCAAATGAAAGATAATAATGATATTTACCATATTAATGGGAGACTGTAAAACTAATCTAGCTTGTTGTTTTCTTTGTTGTCTGTAATACGCTTTAAACGTTTCTCCTTCGCGTAGTACTGTATAAATATGCATACAACGATACACCGGACTAAAATCCATTAAGTCCTGAGCACTTAATTCTTCTTCACCGTCATTCGGCACAGATGTTCTAGTCTGCGATCTCTTCTTCTTCCGACCAATGATCTCGGCCTCGATAGTTAATTGTTCTTGCGTCTGTTTTGAAAATCGTATGTTCCATCAGATACATGAGGATTTATTTATAAACAAATCCTGTATGCTATACTTACGTGTCTCATAGCAACATCGCCAATTTTAGGTGAGTATTTTCTAATATTTTCTAAAAAGTCTCTTAAATCAGACATGGAAGCATCCTTTATATTCTCACGTAGTCTAAAATCAGTGCAATCTATCAGTCGCTTAATCTCACTTACACATTTCTGTGTAAATTACTGGTTAGTTACATTCTGCTGTAAAAACAAATGTTGCTTTATCTTGTGACATTACTCACTGTGGTATTTGCTGAGTAATTTGTGAAGAAAATCTATAATTTGTTACTTTTGGTAAATCATGGTGTTCCAACTGCTCCAGTGTCTTTAGAGCTGGATAATAACGTTTATCTTTCAATTGTTTCTGCAACTTTGCATATGCAGCTAAAACAGGAAGACACATGGTAAGACTGTCTACTGCTGCAGCCATGTTACTTTCTACTTTACGGGCTCTAACAAGCTCTTCTCCCTTTTCTATCACTTTGGTGGAGGTAGCAGTGATGCGCTTGTCAAGCTCCAATATCTCAGCCTACAAAAAGCAATTAGAAATATAGTGTTGCTACTTTGAAATGTTAGAATGTCTGAAACTAACACTAACATTGAGTTGTTGCGCTTGAGAACGAACTTGCAGAAGTTCTCTTATCGAATCAATGAAACCTTGATAGTGATGGTTGCACATTCGTTCGATATCCTTGTCATGAGCCTTGATACGCTCATCAAGCTTTTCCATAAACTTTTGATGTTCGTGGCCATCGTAAATAGCCCTAAAAAGAGAAGAATTATAGACAATAGACAATAAATTGTTCCTGCTTTTTTGTCTTTTAAATTTTTTGTCTCTGTGGAGATTATTGACGACAATGGTACCTGAAAACAAGCCCTATACTGTTAGTATCTGTAGATTCTATTTCATACAGCAGGTACTCGTGTTTGGGTACCATATTTGACAATAGATTGTCAACTTGGTTAGTTGACAACCTTGACATGGTACAACCCTAATTCGATTTGTCTTTATTTTACAACAGGGACAACCACCCCCGTTTTCCACCCCTCCAGTGCGCATATGCAGGATAAACGGTCGCATCTGCGTGAAGGGGTTGTTCCGGGGGCGCGTCTTTTGACCAAAATACCGACAAGAAATACATAATTTTCTCATAGGTTTACATACCGAAAAGTTGGGCCCAAATAATCGTCTATGCCCTCGATTTCTTGAATAAGAATATCGTATCGTTGCATTCTAATTAGATGCTAAGGAAACTCTAGTGCGATAAAACGAAGAGGCGTCAACGAAATTGATAAAGTTGATGGAACACCCTCAAATTTATCAAGGTCGAGTAATATCGATTTGTTGTGCAATTACATGTTGTGTCAACAGAATAAGCTAAGCCTACAAATTTTGCTAGAACGTTTCTGTCATTAGAACAATTGTCCGAATGACAGTGTCAGTCGTCAGCATCATTCGTTTGAACTGCCATCTTCCGCGAAACTACATTGTCTACCACGTTGAAGTGTCGCTTATGTCGTGTGTCACTTTCCGGCGGTCAGTGAACTGTCCAATTTAACGGTACAAAGTGGTTTATTGTACGACGGATTCCATAGGATTAAAAATTATTGAAATTACTAGACTCAAATATATCTGTTACGATATTTGTACATATGTATATCTACATAGATTTCAGTTGCCAGTTAGAATTATGTGTGTCGTTTTAAAAACAATCACTATCATTCTGTACACGAACTTAATGCAATTACGTAGAATGATAGTACGATAAAGAGGATTCAGTGGTCATCATAGTTTCAAAATAATTTGCAACTGAAAAAGTTACTCATCATATTTGTTAGGTTGTGTACCTAAAGTAATTTTTACACGTAATACAATCTGTTCATAAGTAACATATCGATTAGAACCGGCGATCAAATTGACGCAATACTTAAATTTTTATCATTTTAAGCTGTAGCATTTATTCCTAAAAAAAATGTTCTAAATAACATAGTATTTTCGAGCGATTTGGCTTGTTCATTGTTCAATTTATCAGATGTATATTGGTTTTGATAAATTTGACTTCCGAAGATAAACAAAACCGCAAGTATAGTCTACTCGAGTAAAATGGATCTGTAGGGTGAGACCGATATATCGGGCGGGAATTAAATATTTTCTCTTCAATTCTACATTTCAATATTCTTTATTATTCTTCTTTCTTAGTGGTCATCGAATAATTAGTTGAACAATATTTCAAATAGAAAAAAGTCTTTCGCTTGTAATATTTTCCGAACACGAAAAACTTAGTTCGAGCAAACCGTACGAGCTTTTGGCGTCTGGGTTGGAGACGCCAAGTCGTCGGATGTAGTTCTGTGCAGTGTGAACCCCGGTTGATCCTCACCTATCGATTCTGTCGCACTGACGGTGCACTGGATATCGTTTTTCTTTGAAAATCTCTGAAATACTTCAGTTAGGAACGGGATATTTTAAACAAGAAGTAAAATACGAGTAAGTAAATCGTTCTGCGAGCAGTAACTGTTCTCGAAATCATTGGCGCGCAAGTGCTTGATTTTCCTGCGTTTCCAGGTCTATTGTTCAATTTGCGAAGCATAGCAAAAAAAAAGTGATTATTTTATCGCGCCGTTGTTCTGCCAATCATGTTCATGTGAAAATAACTATAGGACCGTTGCGTCGAACTTTCGTGTCGTCCCCAGTTTATTTGCGTCTCCGATTTATCTCGAAGTGCATCCTTATTTGTATAATATTTGAGTGCAATTTTTTAGGGAAGGAAAAATGACACCAGAAGGATACACACGAGTGTATGTCGGCGGCCTGAATGAGAGCATCAAAAAGGAGGACCTCCAGACAGAGTTTGAGAAATATGGCAAGCTGAATAAAGTTTGGGTTGCGTTCAATCCGCCAGGGTTTGCCTTTATCGAATTTTTAAATATGAATGAGGCGGAACTCGCGTGTAGCAGTATGAATGGCACAGAAATTATGGGTGCCAAATTGAGAGTCGAAATCTCACGAGGTAGAGGTCGCGGTGGAAGCAGGGGTGGTATGGGAGGATTCAGAGGAAATCGAGGTGCCGCTAATAGGGGCTATGGGTCTGCGGTCTCCACTGCACTCAGTTACAGAGGCAATAATGCATATGCAGATTACGGGAATTATTATGCAGGCAAGGGTGGTGGAAGTAGAGGTAGAGACTACTACGGCGAAGATTATATGACCAATCGTGCCAGTGGGTATGTCACGCGAGAAGGATATGCACAAGATGTCTATAATAGCGGAGAAACCAATGCTGATTATTATACCAACAAAGGCACTGGCACATCGAGGTATCGAAGTCGTTCTCCGGCTGGTCGTGGCAGGTACTACTGATACCAGTCCTTGTAAAATGATTTTACATTATATGCTATACGTACACAAGCTTAGTGAAACTGTTTTACTTGGCAAACAAAGACTAAAACTAAACAAAAAAGCAACCATTAATTTGCTTCTATTATTGGTAACAGGCATCAAGTAATCTGTTTCTTTTGTTGATATTAAACCAGACAGAAATGTATTTAAAACTCACCTGAATATATTTTTCAAAAATGCAAAGGTTTTAGTTTGAAATAGGTAATTTATTCCATTGACATTGTTTGGCAGATAGATATTGCAAGCAGATACAAAAATAAATAATTACATTATGGAATCTTCTTAATAGTAAAAGTAATTTAACATATATATATATATATATTTATACATATGTTATAATATACATATATATATTTTTTTACATTCACTTGATTATATATATACATATATTTACATTCACTATATATGGTAATCAGTGTGCGAAATACAGACAAATAAAAAAAAATCATTTGTTGCATGACACTAGAGTCAGCAATTTAGCTGAACGAATTTATTGCATGTACAGATGTATTATGCAATTATAAATAGGCTCTCAATCAATGAGAGTTAACCGCCAGATAAGGGCGAAAGTAATGTGACATCCTGTTTTGCACTTCCATGTTCACAGTCATCGTCATCTTCGTGAATGCACATAAAAGATCTACACTGCATTGCCAATCTGAACCGCGGGCCAATCAGCTACCCGCCCTGATGACTACATTTCTATCCAATCTACGCAGCGACCTGTATATAGACAAGAACTACCATTGCAGAATTAAGTTGTGCAATACCATTTATATAGTATAATTTTAGTTCCACAGTTTGTAATCATTTTCAGAACATTACTCATTAATCATAGAGACGTGTTATTACGAACTTTATATACAATGAATGAAAGAAAGATGAAACAAATTATGAAAAAGGATTTGAATCAGCAAGCCATACGATCGTAGACTAAACTTATTTTATAGTGTTTTGCATTCTTTCAATTTGAAAAGGAATATTATATATTCTGTAATCTTTCATAAGTTTTTTATATGTATTTTTTTATACTTCTTTTGTGTTTCTCTTTTTTTCTTTTTTTTTTGTAAGAAGAAAGTATGCAATAAGATTCTTCTGTAACTTAGCCCTTTCTGTTTCTTCTTTTTTCTTTGGAATTTTCATATTTTTT